CTGCTGAAGGGACACAGCGCATGTGGGTACATGCAGCTGGACCCACACCCTTCTGGGATGTGTGGGGGCAGGGTGCTGGAGGCTGTAAGACTAGGCTGGTGCTGCCTATAAACAGTGGATGGACAAAGGCTCTCAGCAGCCCACATGCAGGTGGGAAAGGAAGCCTCAGGGGAGATGCCCCATAGAATGGGCAGAAGGAGGGAAGCATGGAGAGATGCTATAGCAGCATAGGGCAAAGCAGCTAGCAGCTAGGCTACCATGAGCACTGGTGCAGGGTGCAGAGGCAGCAAAGGAAAAGATCCCACTCACTGCTGTGAGGCCCTCTGGGCCCACAGCCCTGACCCACTGCATGGGAAGTAATGACTGGAGGCTCAGCCCTGCTTCAGCCCCTCTGCATCACTATGACTATGGTGCTGGTTGGGTGGGGCTCCTGTCAGTTCCTCCAGGACAGGGATGTGCTTGAGGGGGAAGTTGCCCTGTGGCCTTGTGCCACCACCTCAGCCACAAGCACAGAGGGGTGTGACCAGGACCTAGCTATGGAAAATTCATGGGGAGGGCTGAGCTGTTCTGTGTGTAGAAGCATGTCTATGTGAAAGCAAAAGTCATTCATCAACCAAAAGCCCATGGAAAGGCTTCCTCTTTTGCATTGTAAGGGAACACTTGTTCCCCCACTGACACTTGCTGCCTATCCCAGGAACCTATGACATCTCAGATGAGCTGGCTGGGGGCTGGGGACTGGGCCAGTCCTCTCTGTAACATACATCCTGCATCAGGGATGGGCAATGGCTTGTTCTTCCTAGGCTCAGACAGGCCCATTAACGGGTATGGGATCCCACTGCCCCATTGGTCAAGCACAGAGGAAGCTGGCTTTTCACTGTGTGGCCAGAATGGTGGGAACACATGAGGCCAGGCCTTCAGCCCTGAGCTACATGGATCCTGCACACTCATCTTATTCAGCTGTGCTCAAGGCAAAATGAAGCAGCTAGTAGAGCTTGCCCAAGGTGGCTCCTAGCAGTTCTGGGCCTGCCTTCTTTACTCCAGCATCTCTCCTTCTTCCCTCTTTGCAAGCCACAAGAACATCACATGTTTCCACCTCTCAGTTACACCTGGAAGCTGCTTATCCCTAATGCACCAGTGTGGGTTGCATAAGCTATGAACAGTCCCATTCCCACTCCCAAAGCAGGGACATGGAGACTGGACACCAGTTATGCTGTCGCCTGGCATCTCCAGAAGTGTGTTAAGAAGTGCAAGGGTAATCTTGTCTGGCTGGCTTTGCCTTCAGCAAAGCTGAGTGATGTCTGGCCCATACAAAAATAACTTGTCCAGCCATCTTCCGCAGCCCATAGGCAAGCATTTCATTTGACCACTGAACTTGGACCTCATGACCAACCACAGCTGCAACAGAACTTTGCCAAGCCCCCAACCTTAGCAACCACACACCTGGTACTGTTGGGACAAAGCTCCAGAGGGGACCCTACCTTCATGTGATTTTATTTTTGTGTACACTAGGGCCAAACCCAAGGTCCTGACTCAGGCAAACATTCCCTGAAGCCAGTAGCATTTACATGCACAAGATATGGAATGAGAGCTGAATTGGAGACAGTCAGGCCCTGTGCTGCCTGGTATTGCAAGCTGCACAGGGGCCTCGCCAGGCTGGATAGCGACCCAACCCATTGCACATGCCACCTGAGCCAAGTCTGGGGCCAAGACACCCCTTGTAAATAGTGCTGTAGCCCCTTGTGCTCCTTCCCCTGCCCCCAGGGACACTGTTTCAGGTGCTGGCTGGAGCCCCTGCTCTGCCGCCACCTCCCTCACTCACTCACACCCACCCACCCAGTCCTCGGCTGCATGTTCACACATTGCTGACCTGGGGTAACAGAGAGGCAGAGAACACAGGGGTCTCCAGCTGAACTGCCAATCCCCTGGGGACAGGAGGAAGCCCCAGGGCTTGAGGGATTTCTGCATCAGTGACAGCTCTGCAGGGGCAGCTGTTACCTGCCTGCATGAACCTGCCCCCTGCACCCCGCAGCAGGCTCCAGCCTTTTCTCTCTCCTGACTGCCTCTGAGCCCCATGTGAACCAAAGCTCTGCATTTACAGCCCCCTGGGCTGCAGGAAAGTCCAGGCCTGCGGAAGCCCCCTCTCCCTGGGCCAACACCCAGGGAGCAAAGGTCTCCAGCTCGCTCTCGGTTGGGACCCTGGGCAGGGCAGGATGGGCAGGGACCCACTGTCCTCGGGCTGCAGAAACAGAACAACACCCCGAAGGGACTAATCCCGGGACTTGCCCGGAGCAGGATGCGGAGGGGGCGCAGTGTTCCGACTCGGGTAAGGGGACCAGGACCTCAGACAGCGCCCGTTGAGCCACCCACACATTAGGCAGAAGAGACCTGCTGAGGTCGGCGAGGCCAAGGACCCGCCTCCCCCCGGGGCTCTCCGC